GTTGTCCCACCCCGTGGGGGACCCAAGGACTTTTCGCCCTGAAGGTTGGCTTCCCAAAAAGCGGAATGATGCAAGCCGACAGAGCGGGCCCCAAGGAGAAGGCCCCCGGTTCCTATTTGTTTAATTTTTTCAGAAATAAGTCAAGGGCTCAACGGTCCTGTACCAAACGGGCCCAGTGAGGGGGTCGCGGGGAAAGGCGGGCCGCCGACTTGGGTTCCAGGGACGGCCCCGTGGGAGAGGTGACCGTGCACCCAAAGAGGACGCAGGGAGCCGGGGCTGCGGAGGGGCAGGGGCCCTCAGGGGCGGGCGCAGGGGGGCTCCGACTGGGGAGGGGTCGCCCTCAGGGTGGGCGCAGGTGCGCAGCGGACCCTGGGGGGCTCCGAGCCCCGGAAGGGTCGCGGTGGGCCTCCTGGCTCGCCGGCGCCCTCTGGCGGCTGTGGGGGGTTCTGCTCCCTGCGTGGAATAGTCACTCCCATTCCAAGGGTTCAGGGGTGTCCCTGGCACCACACCGCACCCCCAGTCCCCAGCCAAGAACCACACGGCTAGGTGCACTGTTTTAACGACACCCTAAAATGGAACAGCAGCTATGGAGGAGAAGGGTCCCCAGCACCCCCCCTAAGGCAGGTCATTGCAAAGGCACTTGTGGGGGGGGGGGGCTTCAGGCCTCTCCGGTTTCTTCATGTAAAATCGGGGGTGGGGTAGGGCAGTCCCAGGAGCAAGAGAGGCAGGGGGACCACCTCCCCACCCCCCACCCCCAGCCCATGCTGGGAGAGGAGGGTGCTGGGAGCTGGACACTGGTCACACACATGTGCACACGCACACACACGCTCTCCCTGCGTATCTGTAGTCAGGGCCTGGGGAGACGGCAGCCCCACACTTGAAGAGCAGCGTCCTCTCGCTCCTAGCTGGTACGGAGCTGATAATCTGCAGAGGAACGAAAAGCTGAGGATGGGGGGGGGGCAGCCCCACCCCAGCCCAGCCCACCCCAGCAGGCCCCAGCCAGCATGACCAGCCCAGCCAAGCAAGGGGCTACTATGTCAGAGTAGGAGACCCGGTTCCGGTTTACGCACACCCCCAGGAGGTGGCAGTGGCCCCAGCACGTGGGCCCCCGGCTGCCACCCACGTGGGAGACCCGGGCTCACTTCCTGGTTTCTGGCTGCAGTCTGGCCCAGCCCCGGCCACCCTGAGCGTTTGGGGAGAGAACCAGCAGATGGAAGCTCTCTCTCTGTCACTGTGCCCAGGACAGCGTGGCCAGAAATGGCCGCCCTGTTAGGCTGGGAGCTGTTAGAGCCAGAGCGAGGGCCAAGCGCGCGTCCCCACCGCGTCCCATCCCCTCGCCCCGCAGCCCTGGGGGGCCCGGCTTGCTCACCGCCGCTCTGTGTGATGTAGCGGACCCAGGGCAGGGCCTGGTACCCGCTCTTCTCAATGATCTTCATGTACCGGACCTGGTGGGGGAGGGGACAAAGTGAGGGGTCTGGGCTTGGGGGAGCGGAGCAGCCGGGGCCAGAGAAAGCAGCAATGGTGGCCCAACCTGGCAGGAAGCAAAAGGGTGCAGGCAGGGGTGGCCCCGCACAGGGGAGCAGGCAGGCTGGGGTGGCTCCCACATGGGGAAGCAGGCAGGCTGGGGTGGCCCTGGTGGGGGGGGAGCAGGCAGGCTGGGAGCAGAAGGGGAGAAGGCAGGAAGGATGGGGGGGCGGGGGGATGGGAGAACTGCAGGGACCTGAGCTAAGGACAGGGAAGTGGGGGGCAGCCCGGGGCCCAGGAGAGCCCCTCCCTGCCCACTGCCCTCACCTGGATCCCGGAGACGGTGAAGTACGGGATCTCAAACTTGACCCCGATGGGGGGCCGGCCCTCCACCTCCTCCTTCTCCACACTGGGGAGGCCGAAGTGGGCGCGCATGAGGTACTCCTTGCCCCCCTGCGGGTACACGGGGGCATCAGACACCCCAAGGGGGCCCCTCCGCACCCCACCCCACCAACATGGGAGACCCGGATGGAGCTCCTGGCTCCTGGCCTCGAGCTGGCCCAGCCCTGACCATTTGGGGAGTGAACGGGAGGGGGTGTGTGTGTGTGGAAGATTCTCTCTCGCTGCCTTTCAGGTGAACACAGTATTTGTAAAGGGGTGGGGGAGGACTCTGACCCCAGGGCGGGAGGTGAACCCACACCCCTTCGGCAGCCTCAGTGTCCCCGCCCGCCCCGGGCTCACCGGGAAGGACTTGATGCTCCAGATGACCACGTTCTTCTCGGGCACGTACTTGGCGCTGCCCACGCTCGTCTTGAAGCGGGGGGAGTCGGCGTCGCTGGGCACAGGCACCGAAATCTCCACGCCGTTGGCCACCGACTGCTTCTTGAACTGGCCCTTGGCCTGCCCGGCGAGAGACGTGGGGCGTGAACAGACCCCTCGCGGGGCGGGCGTGGGGCACGGTGCTCAGGGTCCTGCTTGGGGTGCCCACGCCCCGTATCATGGCGGAGCCTGGGTTCCAGCTCCCTCCTGATGCCTGCCCTGTGAGGTGATGGTCCAAGCGCTTGGGCCCCTGCCACCCACGTGCAGGACCCGGATGGCGCTCCAGGCTCCTAGTATTGGTCTGGCCCAGCTCTGGCTGTTACAAGCATTTTGGGAGTGAACCAGTGGCTGGAAGACCCCTCTCTCTGTCTCTGTCTTTCAAATAAATGTTTAAAAATAGTTTTTAAGACTTTGTGGGCGGGCTGGCGCCGCGGCTCACTAGGCTAATCCTCCGCCTTGCGGCGCCGGCACACTGGGTTCTAGTCCTGGTCGGGGCGCTGGATTCTGTCCCGGTTGCCCCTCTTCCAGGCCAGCTCTCTGCTGTGGCCAGGGAGTGCAGTGGAGGATGGCCCAGGTGCTTGGGCCCTGCACCCCATGAGAGACCAGGAGAAGCACCTGGCTCCTGCCATCGGATCAGCGCGGGGCACCGGCCGCAGCACGCCCGCCGTGGCGGCCATTGGAGGGTGAACCAACAGCAAAGGAAGACCTTTCTCTCTGTCTCTCTCTCTCACTGTCCACTCTGCCTGTCCAAAAAAAAAAAGACTTTGTGGGCATCTGGGGAGTGAACCAATGGGTGGGAAACCTCTCTGTGAAATGCATGAGCTAAGGGCTCAAAAGAGGCAGAGACTGGGGCAGGCAGAGGGACGCCATGGACACAGCGGGAGCGAGGGGGAGGGGCCCACCTTCACCATGATCTCCACCCGGCTGTGGGAAAACTTCTCGATGACGGACTCAATCCAGATGAGAGGCTTGACCTGCAGACCGCGGCGGCAGCGAGGCTGTTGGTTTGGCAGGCGCGGAGCCTGGGCCCCTGGCCCCCCGGCCCCCGGCCCCCGTCCTCCTGCGGCCTCACCTGGGTGTTGAGCCGGTAGGACATGAGCTCGAAGTCGCCGTCAGGCGGGATGAAGGAGATGGTGCGGTCATTGTCGAAGCGCGAGAGCCGCACACACTGGTGGAACTTCACGTCCTCCAGCTCCACCGACTTGCTCTTGCTGCCTGAGACTCAGAGGGAAGCATGCACAGTGACCCTGGGGGCCCGCCCGCCCCCGCTCAAGCCCCCCTCCCACAAAGGACCAGACGGGGATCCAGAGCTAGCAGGGAGACAGGTCTCCCATTTGCTGGTTCACTCTCTAAATGCCTGCAACAGCCAGGGCTGGGCCAGGTCAAAGCCAGGAGCCAGGAACTCTGATAAGGGATGCGATGTCGCAAGCGGCGTCTGTCACCGCTGCAGAGGGCAAAGATGTATCTTCAGTTCCCTGCGCTGTTCTGTTGTGCGAAGATTTGGGTACCACTAAGCAGCAGCCGCAGTCCTGGCTCCGGCCGGCAGGGGGCGCGCGAGTGCTGCCTTGCCATCGCGCCGCAGGTGGGCACGGACCCCGGTCCCCGGGGGTCCCCGCGGGTGCTTACGGCCAGTGAGCTCGAAGAGCACGCGGTCGTTGAGGCCGAGCCGCAGCTCCGGCATGCCCGACAGGAACACCTTGAGCTTGATGGTGCCCACGATCTCGCTGAGCAGCACGCTGCCGTTGGCGTTGACCAGCAGGTTGACCGACTCCACGACGTCGATGAAGACTTCGTTCTTCTTGTACTTGATGCCCTCGGAGCGCCAGGACACGGCGTTCGTGACGGTGGGCGGCACCCGCGACTTGCCCGTCTCCAGCTTGTTGCCCTGCTGCGTGATGTACCTGGGCGGAAGGGCGCGGGTGGGGTGCGGGGCGTGGACACGGCACCCGCCCGCGGGCCGCCCTGGCCCCTGGCCCTGGTCCCCGTGCCCCCACCCACTCACTCCTGCAGGATCTTGCTGTCCGTGGTCTGGGGGAAGCCGAAGTCCATGAGCTCATCCAGC